CGTCGCTCTGCAAATCTACGGCGTGCTTCTTCGATGGACGTCATTACATTTATTTAATTGCAAAATTGTTCACTAATCCCGATAAAAGCGGAAGTACAATTGTGTTCTACGATGACATGCAATAAAAATAATCGCGCGTTTTCGAATTTACGTAGACGGACAAATTCGAATTCTACAATAATAAATAAAATAGATTGAATTAAGAAAAAAATATGAGAGACTCATTTTAGATATTTATTTTTGAAGATGTTTTAATTGTGCGTGAAAAGGGCACGAGCCGAGGGATGAACAAAGTATAAAAAATACCCAAAAGGAGAGTACTACAACTATCACCGCACGTTCAGTACCGATTTTCTTAAAGGCGACGATCGAATGGTCCAATTTGCCCGACTACCTTCTGGTAGTCTCACGGAGGAACGCGCGCACCTTTTGAAGAGGATCCGATCGGATCGGCGGACGCGAAGTCACTGACGCCCGGCTCGAACTGAGTGGAGTGTAAGAGGTCCATCGGCACCAAGAGCCGCACGCACACACTCGTCCGGCCGGTCGTGTAGCTGCGCCGCGCTGCTGGTATATCGTGTGCCACCACCTCTACTCAGCCTCGCTGTCAGTGCCAGCAGTACCTGAGCCTCGCCCGCGGAGTCCTCCGTAACGCCGCGCCGGTTAACAGAATACGAGCGCCTCGTCCGACCTACGTGGACGTGGGTTTATTCAATATGGGTCCTATTGTTGCTCGCTGAGAGGAGCTGTTACCCCACAGGAGCGCGCGCACCGCCCTCGATACTCTCTTCCTGCCTAGGAGCCCCGTAATAATCGCCCTCGTGGTAGCCTGAGTCAGTCTCTCTCTCTTTGCTGTATGCACAGCAACGACGAGGCACGAGGAGCTGACAATTGCGGCGTGCTGAGATTAAATGGCAGCTGATCAGATCGTGGATCTGGGATCAGAAGCTATACCTCCCTAGAGAGGCGCACAGATCAATCTTAGAGAGGAAAGAAGGAGGAAGGAAGGAAGGAAGGAAGAGGAAGCGCGAGATATAGGAAAGATAGAATTCTTTGGGAGAGCAAGGATGAGCGATACCGCCGCGCCGAACGGAAAATGCAATTCGTGGCGGCGCGGGCGCGGTGTTGGTAGCGGTGGCGAGTCTCAGCCTCGGGTCGACAGATAGATAGAGTCAAGATTCAATTAGCTCTAGCTGTCAGCTGCATGATACTCGTCGATTCAATACACCTTGTCGCGCTCGTGTATGCCTTGGCTTATTGCTACGTGTATGCGCGTATATGTGAGATTACGTACGTGCACGGTGCGCGTATGTGCGTATATACGATAGGGTATGCCGCGCCCTCGTTTATGCGCCTCAGCGTCAACACACGCGGAAAACCGTACAAACCAGGCGGTTCTCTCGAATCAACAACTTACTGAATCGCGACACATTATATTTCCTTGGAAGGGATAAAATTTAATATTGCGGTTCTTTGCGACGGACTTATAAATAAATGGCAAAATTTCCACGCAGAAGGGAAGAGATAGAGAGACAAGTACGAGGCAATATATTGACGACATTAATCTGCAATGTTTCTGAGACGAAAAATATAAAAACTTTTAATGCATAATTTTGTGATAATATATATAATTTTTTCTTTTATATTAAATAAAAAATATATAAATTTCAGTCTCTTTTGAGATTTAGAATTAGATATGCACTTCACGTCATTTATACCTTATATATGTATATAACTTTCTCGACGATGTTTTGATACTTGTATAATATCGGACTGCGTATTCCGCGAATCTCCTGATGTAGTCTTGAAAATGCAGCCTCGATTAACAAGCTTGATATATAACTTTTTTGATGTATTATAAGTACGCACTATTTATTTCTCCCTCGCTCCTCCCCCACCTACCCTCGACTGAATTAATTGAAGTGATTCGACCGGATTCCGATCCAACTCGAACGTCGCGTTTCGAATTCATGAAAGAACGCGGAGCGGGGGTAGAAGGTGAAAGGCAGTGAAAGGGGGCGGCTAGTGTGCGTGTAGATGATGTAGGTATCACTTGTCCGGGGGCCAGAGCGATACCAGCCATTTTCAATTTATTTCAAGTACCTTTTCGTGGCGGAGAAAAGAAGGGTGCCGCGCGCTACCACCGTCGCCGCCGCCACCGCGTCTGCCCCGACCGGCGTGGCGCGCGGCGTAGAGAGATACCTCTATACCATCTCTCCACCCTTACACCCACCGCCGCGCCGTGCAGAGTCCGTGACTGATCTCGCGGCTCAACTGCACGATGATATTAAGGTTTCAGAGTTATGTTAATTCTCACGTATATGTATCTCGTATCCTTGCGATCGATGCGTTTGCCGCGACTAATATCTCCATGCTTTTTTTTTAAATAAACATTTCGATAAATGCGAGCGTGCAAGATATTATAATACTATACATTTACGCTCAATGTTGAAGTATTTGCTTCTATTGCAAGACCGAATATATCTAGAAGACCGATGTTGATTTGAGATCAATATGTGATTGATAAAAAAATTCTATTCTATATATATTTCTTTTACTTATATGGATACTTATTCGAGTAAACTTTTATTTTTATTCTTAAGTTTCGCGAATATGCGCCTTTCTTTCTTTAATGGTTAAAATCGCGGCGGATAAATAAAACGAGGAAGCCGCTGCACTCACGGAAAATATCGAACTCCTGCATCGTGCAGGTAGGCGCCGCACGAGAAACGCCAGAGAGAAGAATGCTGGTTCGGGAGGAGAAAGGTAATGACGAATAGAAATGTGCGAGAGAGAGTTGTAAAAAATAACGCAGTTAATTAGCAGTGAGGCCACTTTAGCGGGCTCGCGCACTGTTAACAAGCGCGGAGAATTAACTCGCGCGGACGCGAAAAAAAACATCCTTGAACGCGAGGCAACTGAAACGCTCTCAGAAAATCAGACTTTTTTCGCATCTATTTACATTTTTCTCCTCCTCCTCCTCCTCCTCCCCTTCTTCTTTCTCGCTTCTCTTAAATTTTCCATAAATTCTCTACTTTTTCCATGTCATATGTTTTTTCTCTTTCTTATATTGTTAACGTTGCGATCGCATGAATTGCTTTATTTACAAAGCGAGAATTTCACGTAGTAAATTGGATCAAATGCATTGATATTGAATTAACGGTTTCCAATGAATGGCTATAAATAAACTTACATTCTTTTATACGTAATTAATATACCTATATATAAGTAAAATTAATAATATAACTAAAATAACTTTTCTTTATTTGAATAAGTTTAATAAATCTTATTTAGAGATAGATATATGTTGTATTCTCTAAATAATCATAAAGCTTGAAGTTTACATTATTTGCTAAGAATTAATTTGCGAAAATATAATTCTCATGATGTTTCATATGTTGAAAGGCACGTATATATGTGTTTTCGTCTCGTCGCGCAGTGAAAATACATGTTTCACCGAGTTACGTGCTGCATGCATGCGTACACATCCTGCAGGAGGAAGTCGACAAGTTTTTTCTTCGGGGAAAGAAAAAGAGAAATAGAAAAAAAAGGGGAAGATTTCGAATCTCACGAGCTGTCACGTGCACAATCGCGAAAGATAGAGAGACGATTCTCTCTTCGGGATGTAACCCCTTCTGTGGTTTCCCCCTTCTGGACAATGGTCTTGGAGTTGAGGAGAAATTGAATTTGTAACATCAGTAAACTGTGCGACTCTGCTGCTCCCGTTACCCGTACCGCAATCAAAACTGACAATGAGTGGAAGAACGGATAAGGATAAGGAATGAAGAAAGAGAAAGGGAGACACAAAGGAGGAGGGGGGTTGGGGAGAGAGAAAGAGAAAGAGAGAAAGAGAGAGAGAGAGAGAGGGGGGTAGTGAGAGAAATCTCTAGCACCAGAAGCAGAAGGACGAAAAGTCTAAGCGGGCGCGTGATGGAGGGAGAAAGAGAGAGAGAGAGAAAACGGATCGTGTTTCACGCCTGGCGGATTCTGAACCGTTTGAAACCCAGGTGGAAATAATACAACTTTGTGTTCCTTGTTAAGGATCAAAGGAAATTTACCCCCAATCTCGATGTCGAGACTCTTAGCTGGTCTCTCGCCAATTCTCCGTTCGCCTCTCTTTCGCTTTCTGTCCTTTCGACATGAAACTTAAAATAAAACATTTGCTCCCTGTATGTTTCATTTCACAATTTTCGATAATGATATGTAAGGTAATATCGATAAGTTTTTTTTATAAATGCATCAGAGATTGCATTAGACTAAATGCGTGCAAATGACAACATGACAAATGATTACATTTTGAATCATAGTCAATAACTAACGAGTCTATGAATGAAAAAAGACACGGAAAACAAAATAGTTTTATATAATAAAGTCAAACAAGTAATATTTGATTGTTATTTTTTTTCTTAATTTATTTACAGCCATTTATAATATATTATCAGTATCGTTTTTTATCTTTTTTATTTGTTTTCTATTTCTATTGGCCTTCAATAATTATATTAATATAATAGTTATATTTGTATCATATTTGTAAAATAAAAGATAAGACGTTCAATATAAATACATTTTCTTAAGATATATCAAAAACAATGACATATTGTACTGCGTGCTAGAATTTAACATTATATTTTATGATAAATAAAAATTGAATGTTACATGTTGTATTTGAAATTATATATATTTTTGTATGTTACCCCTGACAGGAAATTTCTAAATAATACATAATAGTATATATTTATAGATTATAAACTATGTAATTTTTTCTTTTCTTTATACAGCGTCTTCTGTTGAACTGTAAAGAGAAATCATAATAGTCTAAATATCAAATCATTCCAATGTATATTAGTTATAACTTAAAAAAAATTGTGTGTGGTGTCGGTGTGTGTGTGTGTGTGTGTGTAAATGGTCACTTACTATAAGGATCAAAGAATATAAATTCTAATTTATCAGCCAATCTGTCTCTAATGCGGACCAATTGATGACCAGTTACAACACTTTCTGCAATGACTAAGACATGCCTATAATGAGAAATAACAAATATCTTTTATCGTGAATATACATATTCTAACCTCAAATTTTTGCTCAGATTTATTAATGGCTTTACTTACTTGCTCTTTGCCTTTTTCAACAACACGTTTGTTAAGAACATAGTAATGCAAAAGTGCCTTTCAGTACGATTCAAAAAATTACATACAATATATTATAAATAAATGTTAACACCAATAAATGTAATACAGAGTTGATTCGCTCAACGTGTAAGAAGAGGTTAGAATCGTCTAAATCACACACAATACACATACACTTCATAAATTCCAGCCAAGCTGCGTCGATAATACGAAGATCATTATCACATAAGCCATAAAGTTACCGCAATAAGATATTATACTGCGCGCGTACGATAAAAGATTCGATTCTTAATCTTCTTAACAATTATGGATAATACAGCAATCTTTTATCTTTTCTTAAATAATGTATCGACAGAATTATTTGATTACTAAAAGTGCAATGACAATATATATGTATGTATGTATGTATGTATGTACATTCATACATCTTTAGAATTAAAAAAAATTATCTTTTAAAATAAATATTTATCATTTATCTACTTTAAAAGGTAATTGTTACACAAAGTAATGTAACACAAGGTAATAAATGTTACACAAATTTAAAAGATCATAAAAGTAAACTACATAAAAATGAATATGAATTTTAATCAAGTTTAAATGCTAAACGTTGCTTAAACATTGATAAACGTACTTACATAAACCGTATGTGGCACATGCATATGGATCATCTACAAATAAAATATATATGTATAGTTACTTTTTTCGGTAGCTTTATTCAACATCTCAAAAACAATGCATGAATCGTCAACAGTTTTGTTTAATAAATTTAGGAAATTTCTTATATAATTCAATTCTAATTCCTGAAATGACACAATATTGACACATATTTCTAAAAATAGCTTCATATTACAATATTATTCACATTAATAATATCACTGTATTTTACTGAATAAACAATCCTTCAAAAATCAATATAATAAAGTAAAATAATTATAATTATAATTATATAATTTGTAAGCAATAAAATAGGAAAAGAAATATGTATATATATATATATAAAAAAATGTCGTATATATTCCCATTTGTTACATTTTATTTCATACTTCATAGATTCATATTTATTGAAAATGTCCTGTGAAGCGTGAATAACAAATGGTAATGTCATAATTATATATAATAAGATGCATTATACAATCCTCTTTTTATCATGATATAGATATAAGTATGTAAGATTAAACATTTCCAACTTAAATAGCATAATAGTTTCACTATTAGGATAAAAAGTGCAAAGATATCCCAAATGAATTTATCAGAATGTACAATACAAATTAGGATGGTGTTTTAACTTTATCATTAGCTAAAATTTCTAATCGTTTAATCACTTTAGCAAGTTCAACGTTTTTATCCAATTTCAAATAATCCACCTTTCGCACATTATGTATACTGGCCCACGTAGGTAAAAGCTTGCACAGTTGTCGTATGTGCTCCTTCAATTCTTGCGACGTTAGTTTCGTTCTGAAAGAATTGTCTAATTTTTGTATCACTGCCTCTATTGGTAAAACGCCCTTCTTTTCCGCCACGAAAATATTGCGAATAAGCTTCGCTAATTCGGGAAGTCTAGAATATAGCGCAGCCTCTTTATCTGCGTTTGGTGTTCTCGTCATTGCTTCTAATGCCTTGGCCGCTTGTTTAGCACGAACCTATAATACAAAATACAATTGAGAAGAGAACAATAATGTCTTAAAAAATGTGAATGTCACAATAAAAATATATGTCAGAGCTATTGTCCTAACAAAATTCTTACCTTCTCGAGTAGAGCCTTAGGAATGCCTTTAAATAGTGTACTGAGATGATCTGTTTGTACGGATGGCGTACTTGGTGGAGTATCTACAATAGCAATGTTAACCTTCGGAATACCATCTTCTGTTGTTTGGGTTGTAGAATCTTGTGTAGAAACTGGAGATTTGGATTTGGTAGTTAGGTTTGCTTCAGCGAGCCTCTGCAATGCCTTCTCCATACGTGTACCACAATTAAACAAAGATTTTGCTTTGTCTGCGGAAAAAAGATAAAAACAATTAAGTAACAAATGACATGTCCATAATATAAATGTCTTATAACTGTATTTTGCCAGGAATATTGACACAAAAACAGAGACACCTACATATTCTATGAATAATTTGATCCTTTTGAAGTGACACTTTAAAGCCATTCTCTACAGTTAATTTATTAATTAAGAATTGGGTTGAGTAGCGCATAATGCGAGAATGTATAATGTAACTGCTCGAGCATTACGCGTAAGCAGTACCTTTATACCGATTGCATTATGTGCTGATTAGTCAATAAAGTTTTGCAACAGCTGAGTAAAAACCGAGTTTCACAACTACGCAAACTACGCATTGTTATTTTGTTCTTTTGTGCAATTTTTCGACCCACTTAAAGCTGTCATCCGGATTAAGATCGTATTATATCACTGAGTGTATGCAATATATGCATATAATTTAATACAGCTACGTACTCTGCATTTTTAAATATTATTTTTAATTCAATATACACGATTATGATTTTGTAGCATTGTGCATATAAATAATACAAAATAATAGTTTCAAGTTTTGTATAATAATAAATAAAATATTTTTTCCATACAAAAAATTCCTATTGCTATCACCAATGTCATGACTCTTACCAAGAACATCCCTAGCAGTTGGTTTTTCGACCAAAGGTGGTTGCGGTAATACAGCTTGCTCAATTTTCCTGCAAGATTCCACATCAAATTCGGGATGCCAGCGTACTATTTTCTCCCTCGGTATATTCATTAATCTGGGAGTCTCAAAGCTCAACAAAAATTTCTCATGTTCATCCTTCACTCTCTCTGCAACAAAATAAATACATTTAAAGATATAGGTTTGTAGTAATCACATTTGTGTGTGTGTGTGTGTGTGTGTGATAGATAAAACTATTTGAAAAGAATAATATGCACCTAATAAAGCGTTGTAAAATCTTTTCCTTCTTTCCAGCAGTATTGTAGGGCTCATACCACTTTCAGACGCAGTTTTCAATACGTTATCCGCGTCAGGCGTATTTCTACCATTAATTTTTTCAACTACAGGCGTTAGAACTAATTCGTATTTTTCTCGCTTGGACACTGAACCAAAATTTCGATGCTTCTCTTGTTGATAAGTATATGCATCGGGATAAATGGTTTTTATTTGAGCTAGATGCTCCTGTGTAAAATTACGACGTAGTAATTCTTGGACTGCAGGTTTCAATTTATTGAATGTTATCAATTCTTTTCTATTAAACAACATTGCTGAAACCTAAAGAACAAAATTGAATGATTGATGCGCTTAACCACAAACTTAAATTTAAATCGCATTAATGACTAAATATGAAAATTTGCAAAAAAAAATTTATAATAAACACTAGGGTCCACTACACACCGTATCTACACATCTGAATATTTCAGCTAGAAATCTGTAGTTATACGGCAGTGCTAATCCAGGTATCTCACTTTCAGCCAGTGACAGATATTTCTGATATGCTTTAATAGGACTGGATTTTCCTGGACTTGTTTCTTTAGGCTCAAACAAAATTCTCCTCTGGGGACTGGGGGCTATCTTGGAGAGATCAATGTCTTTGGTTGGAGTCAGTAATCCCTTAGTTGGAGATTTATATGTTTTCTGTGGACTTTATATGAGAAAAAAAAATGTATGAGATAATAATGTTTGGATAAATAAATTATAAGATCCTCTCTCACCTTACAGGAATTTCAAGTTCCACCTTGTCAAACTTTTGAATGTGAGGTTTCTTAATCTCATCTTGTTTTTGCATTTGTTCCAATGTCTGATGATAATTGGCGATTCGTCGTGTTATGGCCTTCAACTCTGTCAATCTAGAAGATTTGTTGATTCTGCTTTTGATGTCAGCCAAACTTAAATTTTCATTTTTCACAAGTCTTTCCATCGTTGAAAGTTTCTTTGATGATGGTGGGGTGAGGGAACCGTTGGCAGGTTGCTCCTTGCTTTCAGCCTCTTTCATCACGTTATCCTTTGAAACGTGAGAAACGGCAGAAGCCTTCTTGGGTGTCTGTGGCTTTTTCTTCGGACTAAGCATACCCTTTTTCTCGAAGGGAACTTTCTTGGAGTCCTCCAGATCGTTGCCCACCTTCAAAAAGCTATCTCTGATATCCGCCTGGCTTCCGTCCGTAGAGGACAACGTACGAGAGCGAATGCCTCGCGTTTTAGGTTTGCTCGTTTTCTCACTTTCGCGGATCGTTTTCGAAGAATCAAATTGAATATTGCGAACCGCTTTATTGCGAGCCCGAAGGCCTTCTCTCGAATTTGTGGCAGCATTCTGCAACACGATCTTCGGACTCGTTCCCGTATCTATTCCGTCTGACGCGGCCTGCTCCTCCGAGTTCTCGACACTTGGCTGCGCTTGGTTATCTCGCTCGAGCAGCAAAATCTTGGACTTACTGCGTAACTCGTCGCACGCCTGCCGTTTGCGCGTATTAAAGTATGCTGTTACTGATGGCTGTGACATAGTTGTACGTACACCGCGATCGCAGACACTGGCAGACACACAAAGGTTATTATCTCGGCGAAGATACGTACGAAAGCCCGCCTTTTTAGTTTTTACCTTGTTGGCGGCGTTGGCGCGAAACACAACACCGCTAGGCCGTTACGTTTAGTCAGCTGTAAGCAAGCGGTTGCAAAAAAGCCAAATGGCTATAGTCCTCTTCACATGTCGCTACAAACGCTTCAAAGCATTTTTTGATTGGTCCATAAAATTCTTTGTCCCGATTGGCCAATCGAACGCTTCGAAGCATTTTTGAGTGTGGACATGTGTGTCAAGTGGATCGCAACCATAGACTAAAAAAGTTAAAGATGCGCAATAGTCAGATTATTAATTTCGCGCGACCAATGATATCGAGAAGGAGATTAACTACAGATGGCACTAAAATCACAAAAAGTGGTTGCTGAAATTCATCTGATCAATTCTAACCTAATTTCCTAACCTAACAAGCATTGTACAACGATTTGTACACATAATGTGTACACTTTTTAACGCAGGCAGGCATCAATGTGTTTACAACAAAAAAATTTCACTAATTTCTATTGCAATAAATACGTCAGATTGTATTGATTACCATTGATTTATAAACTTGTGTGTTTTGCATAAGTTTAATTGATCGATTTCGTTTTCTCATGCAACGTAAAGCATGTTGGAAATCTGACGAATGTATATAATTATGTATGTACATATTGTGTACATGGTAAAATTAATAGTTAAAAAAAAAAGTTATTTTAAATGAAGCATACCCTTGGATTTTATTAATCGGTTTATTAATGGATTGCATTAATGTTACAAGATACGATTAACAGAGTGCTACAGCAGTTAAAGTGCGATAACTAATATAACATTTTATATTTTAGGCAATGAATACTGCAAGAGGAATGAAGCTAATCTTTGGTAGAATAAATCACTTAAAGGAGCAGTTATTCTCTCCTAAAAATTTATTGTACACAAATATAGGGATATCAATTTCTCTTTCTGGCATAGGAGATGTTTTGGAGCAGCAGTATGAAATATTAAAGGTTTGTTAACTGCAGACTCTTAGCGTTTCATGATTAAGTTTTATGATGCTATATTTTTTGTAATAATAATTCTCGATGTTGTTTAGGGCGAATGGGATAAATGGTGTTTTATCAGAACTAGAAATATGTCTATATCCGGCATGTCTATTGGGATAGTTTGTCATTACTGGTATAATTTCTTAGATACTAGAATAGTTGGGCGCACTATCGGTATAGTTTTAAAAAAGGTGATTATTGATCAGCTGATTTGCTCGCCTCTTTGTATTAGTACATTCTTTTTGACACTGGCTTTATTGGAGAATAACAGTTTGGCAGAGTTTAAGAATGAAATTAGAAAAAAGGCATACAAACTGTACGTAGCCGAATGGGTCATTTGGCCTCCAGCGCAAGTTATCAACTTTTATTTCCTTCCTACACGATATAGAGTGTTTTACGACAGTATGATATCTCTCGGTTATGATGTATATACCAGCCACGTGAAATATGATGTAGAAATTTGTAATAGATGATGGTATTTTAATTAGTAAAATATTTTGCAAAAATACAATTTAAGAAACAAAATAAATAGAACTTGCCAAAACTTCTGAGATTGCATTATTCCGATTGCGATTGATTCTGAGATTTCAGACAGACAACTATTTTCGGCTCGATTTTAATCAAACTGAGAAAATAAATTCTAATATAAAAATTTATTTTACACAATCACACAATTTTTTAAATACATGACGTACTATTTTTGTATTTTTCATTATAATACAAATTTTATTATAGAAAAAGCGGCGTACTATATATCTATTTACTTAATTAATCTTTTCTCTTCAATTGTCTTTAATTGGGCTATGATATGAAATTTTCTGCGTTCACGGTAATACTGCTGATATCTTTGATTTTTATGTAGGATGATAATGAGAATGACATTCTTATTATCATCAATTCTTAAAACATTCCATCGTGAATGCCGATGGGTACCAACACAGCTGTAAACAGCAGCAAATTACGAGCTACTAGTTTCCAATCGTTCGGTACTGCATATGGCGCTAAAACATGCGTCAATCTATGAATCTAGAAAAAAGAATTTCCATAAGAAAAAATTTGTTTTTATAATTGTTATAAAAATTATAATTTTTTTGTCGTTAATCATAGATATAATTCGTTTTTCTCACTTCGTGACTGGCGCAGATGAAGATAAACGATGTAACCAACAGATTCAATACTGGGAATCTGGGTAACAGTACAAGCACTCCATGCGAATCTGCTGCCAACCATATGTGACCTTGCGCAACCAAAGTTTCCAAACTTATTCTACCTAATCCAGCTAAAAGTGCAGAGTGTTTTCCCCGCAATGCCAATGATGCGTTTCGAAGAGCGATGTATCCTATAATCTAACAATAACAAGTAACATTTATAATGAAAGTAATAAGAAATATCGATTTAAAAAAGTTGATAAATATAAGAGAAAAACGATGAGAAATATGAAGAATGAGAAATAAATAAATAATAATAGAAAAGAAGTTGGAGTAATATTTACCGGAATGAAGGCAACATAAGAGTGAATTTCCTCGCACTCTGATACAGAGTGACACAAAATCGTGAAAGTAGTGTATGCTATTAAGGAAATCAATGCCAATACAGAAGATAATGCGGTGCCCGGAATGTGATCTATTCTCTGAAGAGCGACAAGACCGGCTCCGAAAGTCAAGCCCCAGACTACGCTGTATCTGTCGACTCTCCAACGAGACCACCATTCGCGGATATCATCATCAGTCGTCACAAATAATGCTTTCCAGGGCCTCGTGACAAAAACTTTCTCAAAGAACACCTGCGCTGATGAAATGTGTTATATTTTGCAATTTTAAAAGTGTAATTTCTATATTCTCCGTAATAATGGAAGTTGTTTATTACCTCCGACATGTATAGAATAGTAATTATCGAGACAAGACCCAAGAGTTTTAGGGCAAAATATAGCAAGGCTCTCGGTCCGTATTCTGCTAAACTTCCAGAATATATTCTGGGTGGTAACCAAGCCAGAAAATAAATCACTAGAAACCAGAACGATACCAATGGTACGAAATGATAAAATTGATACGGCCTGTTCATGCAAAGACATAAGGATACTGTCAACAAGTTTAATCTAAACATGACCTGAAACACATCAATCAGATTGAAGGCAAAAACATAATTTTAATGAGTTAAATAAAACTTGTATCTAATACTTACTCTAGCAAATCTGACAAGAGACACATCGCCAGTTTGCCAAAAGTAATAAAAGTGTCCATATCCAGACAAAAATAAGTAGGCAGAATTAATTAATCTTAAATACATATAGATCGGTAAGACATTTTTGGCACCAGTGACATGATATATGAGCACAACCGCTTGCATTAAACCTCTCCATTCGTCCGTTTGCTCTCTATTTAACACTCTCGGTCCTCTCTCGCGATCCTCGGTGAAAAATAATCCAAGAGCTAGGATATAACCGAGTGGTAGCCAAAAACTGAATTCACTGTAATACTTATTCTCCTTCATGAAAAAATTCGTTCTACGAAAGAAAAATGCGATAAGGAAATTATTAAAGCTATTGCAATATGACGATGATGAGAAAAATTACACACTTCATCAAGCGCGATTACTTACCTGTCGCACAAATAAAAGTATCCTAATATAATGGAGAAGAGGGCCAACGATGTAATGAGAGTGTAGAAATCTTGTACCTCAAGTTGCTTAATTTGAATGACTTCCGAAGTACCTGCTTCTTCCGTATCTTCCACTTCCTCGGTGGTAACGTGACAGTAGGATACTTCGGAACGATACTTGCACAATTGTCTGTACAGCCATACTCCTCCTCCTATTGTTAGACTATAAAAGATTTTTAAAGAAATTATTCTCCGTGGAAAGAGGGTATTACATCGGATTAATGTGTACAAGTAAAAAGTTAAATAATTACAATAACGCAAGCGCAGACAAACTTAACAATTGTAGAGTAGTTGCCAGCTCGGGATAACTGCAACAACTGCCATCATCGAAATTCATATGATCGTTGCAGTATGTATTCAATAGTATTTGAACTTTATGACGAAGTGACAACGGACTTGCCAAGTAGCCATCTGGACTTTGTTCAAGTACACCCGTGCCGACTAATTTGCTGCTTTGCCATATACGAGCTTCACTATGAGACAATATCTGCATGCAGCGATTATAGAATATTTATCTTTTCCCTTATGTAATAGAGTTAGGTAAACATATCGTCAATTTATTACCTTCTCAGCCGCTTTGTTGCACAAGTTGATCTGCTTGTTGTCTAAACCCAACAATTGTGCAGGCAATCTTTCCTTGAGCACAGGATCTTGTAAGAGCCATAGGAACTGAGATCCCTTCTTAGCCAAAAAATCTATCGGCTGTACCAATCGAATCAAACCTGTATTGTATTCCGAATAAAGTTGCGCGTCACTGTTATTGTTTGCAAGAATCGCAACTGTAGCAGAGCCCGCGACAATTACGCTAGGTGCATCTGTCTTCTATAACACATCAAAGATATATAAATTTTATTTATTTCCCCAATTCTCGAATTCTATGTTTGTCTATACATTTATTTACTATACAATATATAATGTAAACATATTACCATCCAGCCTCTAAAGTCTGCTATCATAGAGTCATCGAGTCGCGGTCTCCATAGAAATTGTACATTTAACTTAAGCTGCCCATCATTAAAGCCCAAGTCGGAGTTTTCTGGTAGCTCCGTGAGATCGGATGTTTTACCATCAATCATGAATTGTGAAACGAAAGATTTATATAGTTGCCTTATTCTAGCATCACCAGTAAATACAAAATGATTACGGTGGCCCATGAAAGCTAGATATCTCATACATCTTCTGCTGTCTCTGTACAAAGTACCGTAAATCTTTTCTATACAAAAATTAATCTCTCTCTCTCTCTTTGAAATTTTAAATTAAAAATAATAATCTTACGTTTGGGTGTAGTGATGCATCATGCATCCATATGGTTGCCATTCTTTGTCTCCTTTGTATCTGCCTTCTGTCAATAACCATTTGCAAGAATCGCTACCTACGATTATACAAGTTGCTATTAATAATCGTATTTATGTGTGTAATAAATAATAAATTACTTTTATTATTACAAGATTTATTTAAAAAATAAAATATGTGGGATACTACATTGCAAAGTTGTTTTAATCTCTCAATTATAAATTATTAAGTTTATGGTTATTGTTAATTTTGATATTTTGTAGATAATGTTTTTACTGTACCATAAATAAGATGTATGACACCATGATATATAATAAAACAGACAACAAGCACAGTAGCTAATTTCTTTGCACTTGTTACTGTAATAAGACTAATGAAATGTTCGGCCGATGTCATGAAGGGATCTGATATCGATTACATTGACACTGCAAAATAAAATTTTGTGCAATTTTGTATTTGTATTTACATTTAAAACGATGCATCTAGCATCAGGAATATATACCTGAATCTCGTACGTATATCTAATCGAGATACTCCTCAGAAAGGAATTATATTATTGTAATTGCCAAGATAATACAAATGCACACTCTAATAATTCTCTCAGGGTGCGAGATGCGAGGATGCGAGTGAAATTTATTTTGCTATTGTTGTCTCGTTTGACACACTCTCCTGAAATGCTATACGGTTAAACTTTACACGTTTTTGTTTAACACACACTGAACAACTGTATATCAAACTGAATTGTACAAAAATATCGATCTTCATGATTTTGCAATACTCAGCAATTAGGGTGATAATATAATGATAATGCAAAATGCGTCACGTTACAGTTTACACCATGCCGGATATATAATATATATATATATATCCAATGTAATGTGTATCGGTTCTCGTTTTCTACGTTGTTCTATGCTACAATGTGGCTAATGAATATTTGCCATAATAAATAAAAAAAATCCCATACTTGAACAAATTGATTGTATCCCACGTCAATTTATATGTGTGGGATCTACATACGTGTGTTTACTTATTACATTTTTATCGCTGCCTCTTTTAGTCTTTTTCTATTGATAAAGTAAAGATGAATCACACCACACACACATCTCTGTTGTGTTGTCTCGGGTGCGGAGTGCAGAAAGTGTATAAAGTACACAAGAAATACAAGGTGTGTGTATATACGCTGCAATTCTAAGTTAGTTTGTATCGATTAAATAAATTTCCTTTTATTTCTTTTTTTGTCAGAATCGACAAATCAGGCAAGCGTGTGCAAATTTTATTAAGAATTACTAGTAGATTACTATATATAGAACTTTTTTCAAGCATGGCATTCGTACATTGAGGTGCATTGCGCAATTGCGCATCTTCGTGGCGTGTTCCCGACGCGTGAAGCATGTTAATGCGTGAATGCGTGAGCGATACAAATTCATTTCTTTCGGGTGTGCGTATGTATGTAAACGATGTAAACATACATTATACACACATACATACTTTCCATACACTTTTCTAACTCGACTCGCGCGGACCTCACACACACACACACACACACACACACACAATCACGCAGCGGCAGAGGACGAGCGACAAGGACAGACAAGAACAGATAAGAAGAGAGAGAGAGTGGAGACCTATTTAAAGGGCGTTTCGCATCTATCCCATCTATTCTCTTCGGCCAAGGTGCAGGCAGCATCGGGACGCGTCGCTGATTGGCGGGGCCGCGCGCTTTCCTGACATTTGTGATTCAGACCACCTTTATACCGTTGCGTAGGTCATATGATTCTATCAATCGGTTGGTCTTACGAGTTACGCGAAATTGACAAATTGTCAGTGTGCGCGCCAATTGTCATCCCTGTCAGCGGTTATTAGCTACGTTTCGCGTGATACGTATGCAAGTGAGTGCGAACGGTGGTAAACGCGGCAGTTAACGACGCAGGTCCTCGACGTGCTCCGAGAAAATGTCACTTTTTGGAGTAGGCAATCCCTTTTCTACGCAAGTAGGACAAAAGATTGGTAAGTGGCTTTTATTCGCGTTTGTCGTCATATACCGGATTATACACGGAGTGTATTTATCGTTTCTCCGAGATTTTCTCGAAATAATAATTCCATTCTTTCCACAACATTAAAGATCGATGAATCGGTCGACGAAAGAATTTCCAAGTACGCGTGGACGGCGATTTCACCGTTTATCTTGATGAATTTATTTAATTGAGAGTTCGCGATAGCGTTATATCGCGGCGCCTATCAAATATTCTATATAATAGTGAATCTGCAAGCTCGTACGTGTCAATGAGTCTTTTTTCCTTTTCTTTTGTAATTTCAGAGTCTGCTACAGATGGTAGCTTACCCAGCGAGAATTGGACGCTTAACATGGAGATATGTGATATTATAAACGAAACCGAGGATGGGCCAAAAGACGCTATTAAAGCTATAAAACGCAGATTCAATCAGGCGGCGGGAAAAAATTATACCATAGTCATGTACACGCTTACCGTTAGTATTATAGATATCGTAATGATACCGCTTATATAGGATCGTATCCAATACGATTAAGTATATAGTTCTAGTTTGCTTGACATAATTGAGTAATTCGACGCATGAGTCAGCCTCGTGATCAGCCGCCTTCGTAACAACAATAACATTATAAGTGCATAATCAAGTGTCATTTGACAGTTTTGATATATACAATTTATACTACAATTAGCCATGATTAGCTGTGATATATTATTATATTTATGACAAGTGTAACTTGTCCTTGCGATCAAGTTACCGTGAATACTGTAATATGAGTGTGAATATATGAGCATGTTTATTAATTTATCGTGTAAGAAATTGCAATAATGTCATTTGTGTATACAATAGGTATTGGAGACATGTGTGAAGAATTGTGGAAAACGTTTTCACGCTCTTGCTTGTTCAAGAGAGTTTGTGCAAGACCTAGTTAAATTAATCGGCCCCAAAAATGAACCACCGACAGCAGTTCAAGAGAAAGTTTTAAGCTTAATTCAAACATGGGCGGATACGTTCCGTCATCAACCACATACTCAAGGTGTCGTGCAGGTTTATCAAGAATTAAAGATAAAGGGCATACAGTTTCCGATGACTGATCTAGATGCTATGGCACCAATTATCACTCCAGAAAGAGTAAGGCATTACTCTTTTCAGATAAAATTCTATTATCCTCGCAATGCGTTGTATCTCTGACTAATTTTGTTTTTGTTTTTTTTTCCTTGTCATATTTTTATAGAGTGTACCTGAAACAGAGCAAATTCCGGCAAGCCTGACTACAAATGAGCAGCCTGCGTCTTTGGGAACGCAACAATTACCTTCTCAAACGTCACAATCTATTGGCCAGTTAACTCAATTGAGCGAACAACAAATGGCCAAATTGCAAAGCGAGCTTGATGTTGTTCAAGGAAATATGCGCGTATTATCGGAAATGTTGGCATACTTTACAAGTTCAGACCAAAGTTGCAAGCAACAACCAGATTCTGCTGATCTCGAGTTATTGAACGTAGGATTCTTATATAGATATATGTTGTGTCTGCTTTCCTTATAAATTAAAATTTAAGTTAATTATTAAATTTTTCCTGTTTCTATTAAATGCTTATGTAAATTCCACATTGTAATTCCATGTCTAAATGATTATTTGCAGGAACTTCATTCCACATGTAAGGCAATGCAAGAGCGTGTCGTCGATTTGATCGGTAAATTGGCCCACGATGAAATGACAGCAGAATTATTACGCATTAATGACGAATTGAACAATCTGTTTCTTCGTTATACGCGTTATACGAAGAATAAAATGCAAGTACCGGCGAGCACTATATTAGCCCAGACAATTGCACATCCACCAAACGCTGAATCGACTCCAACGACGCTTACTAAACGAGAAGGGGAATCTCTTATAGATTTATCTGACGATGTGGATAATGTAACAAAGCAAATGAGTGAACTCGGTAAGTCAAAGTTATATCATCTAATACATATATCTAATGTAGAATTGCACACTGCAGTGCAAAATTGTGTGTATTAAATATTATAAAGTTATCACACTATATTTCTCATACATTTTCTATGTATCACGTTCATATTTTCTTTTTCTCAAGATTGATTCTACTATCTATCGATACTATTATGTCGTATTTTAAATAAATATAGATGCGGCTGAAGGTGTAGACAAAAATACAAGACAAAAGGAGAAAAAAGAAAAGGATAGCGATGAATTCGACATGTTTGCACAATCGCGCAATGCAACGTACGAAACAACAAAAAATAGGTACTGTATATTAGATTAATTAGTAAGTAATTAAAATGTCATCATTCATAATAGCAGAAGATTGTGAAATAGAGTTTTCAATAGAGTTATATGGTATATGTAGTAATAATATTTCTAAGGTTTAGTAAAAGATATGCACACACGCAAGGAATCCGCGATATTTTCTTTAAAATTATGAAGAAAATTTTAAAGATAAAACACACAAAATATTGACGCACAAAGCTCTAATTTTCTTTTTGCAACACACAATTATTTATGGCATGAACAAAATTAACAAGACAAGAAGACACAAATTATATTTATTTATATTGAAACTCGTCACACATTACAAATTTTCTTGCGATGTTTCTATTAATTAATACATTTACTCCCTTCAATATGTATTTGCTTATTTATTTTCTCCTCTAATAATTTAATTAATTTTCTGATTACAGTAGCAGCAAGTACGAGGACAATATGGAGCAGGTGAGAGGAGGGAGCTTAAGCACGGCAATTCTCAACCGCAATAATCCTAAATTACCTCAGCAGTCCACTACTACTAGTGCTAGTGTGCGTAACATCTTCATCTTTTTGAAACTAATGATTAGAAAGAATTAGTCGCGCTCAATCTTTTCTAAGATACTCCTTTCTATAAAGTATAGCGTATATACATAAACATTCAACGATTCAATTTCTACGATTCATATTGATGTTTTAATTTTAAACACTGCATGCGCTAATGCTTTGTATAAACTATATTGTCAATGTTCTCCATATTTTACACATATGTGTACTAAAAGAGCTCAAGATATAATAATTTTTTACTGAATTTTGCTTGCACATGTTAAATATTCGTTATATGCACGTCACAACACATTATGCACATCGCTTCTAGAGGAGCATGAAAGTTGTTAATTTTGATTATATTATTTTGTTGGATTTTGTTTGCATCAAACGTTATAGCATATTGCTTGTATTTCTTTTCGTCGTTTCGTTCAATGTTTGTATTTGTTGTTTTTTTTTTTTATATATACTTAGCCAAACCTGGAATCTGAATTCAATGAAATGGCAGCCTGGTTAGATCGCACAGTAAGTACTTGTGTAGGCTTAAGTTAATTTTATAAATATCTGAGCGAGCCAAATGTCGAAAATCATAATCAGCCTAAGTTTAAGAGATTGCAAATTCTTTTGCTCGCAATTATTGACGCAGACTTACAAGAATGTCAATTTACAAGAACAATATAATTTGCATTACAGCAGCCTGGAGGGCAAGGTGATCAAGAATCCTTAACATCGTCGGAATTTGAGCGCTTCTTAGCAGAACGTGCAGCCGCGGCTGAAGCTTTGCCAACGCTCTCTACAGCCACAACTGCCACCGCGAATTCTTCGACTACCGGTAACCAGAACATTCAGCGCCAAATTAACAAGGATCAAGACAAATCCTTATTTGCTCTTTAAGTACCTTGAAAATACCTATCTGTTGTAAAATGGGAGGTTAAACTTACTGGGACTGCCGTGCTACTTCAAACGGCACGTATTTATGATTTTTCCCTCTGATTAAACCTGATTACGCTCTCGTGCTTATCGTCGACAATTTAAGCTATGGGGATTTGTATTTTTAACGTAATGAGCTGAAATAAGATAGAAATACAGAGAGACGGGGGAGGAGTACACACATGAAAAATGCTTTGTGCTTGTACGTACTTAATAAGGTAACCGATCTTATACAATCACGCGCGCGTTTGAGATGTGTTTCAGTTATAAAATTGTGGTCACATACACGTAATGATAGATAAGTTGCTTTAAAGTTGTTCTATGAACCATTACAATTGACTATTACGTAATAATATAGCATGTTAAGGATTAGTTTACATTTGTACATAAGCGACGATGCGTCCATGGAAATATCCAGATTATATATCGCATAACAGGTTTTATTATGATAAATTTTGCCTCAAAGTCGCGAATCAAGCGTGAGTTCGCAATTAGATGAAATTTTCGGATTGATGGGGGGACACATGGGAATGTCTGGACGAATATCCAATTGAATAATCGATCTTATCTACATATTGACAAACTATTTTTCTATGTTGAAGTAAATTTTGTCTCTCAACTATTTGACATTCTATATACAGAGATACATTTTACAGATTTATTATTATTTTTACTATTGTAATTCCTACTATTGTAGAGACTTTGTAGAGACTTTACTATTATATATTTAATATAAATTAGTAGCATGAATTTATTATTACTGGAGTTATGTGTAATAATATTATAAATGAGTAATATATTCTGAAATTATTATAAACGCTGCAGTAACATCTTTAACATCCTATGTCTATACAGAAGCTTGAAGAAGGAATGAAAAGCTCTTAGTTGGTTTTAACTTTATCCCTCGTGGTTTTATCAATTGTCCTAACATATTTTATAGTATATACTGTATTTCCTATTTTACATTTACTTACACTTGCGTTTTTACTGTATTTATGCATATCTATCTAGTGAGCAAGTAGATGGCTAAAGAAACAAGTACACCTGCGGTGCCTGTATTAACTGAACTCGTGCAGTTAATAAGGATAATCTGTACTCTTCATTTACGCAGAGAATAAAACTGCATCACAACCAAATTTCTTTCACGTTTCTCTTGCATTATATAAATTTTCAAATATAAGATTATTATATTATATTTGCATTATCTTCAAAATAATTGGGTGCAACGCATTTTTAACTCACTCTTTTTTCCTCTTTTTCCCTCTCTCACCTCTCCTGCGTCTAAGCTCATTAAAAATATAAGAATTAAAACACACATGTAGCAAAAATAATTTTTATAGGGATCAGTTTAGAGGAGAAACTCCAAAAAAATGTTTTCTCTATCTTCGTCACGTAGAGAGCAGCGGTAAAATCTTTTTAATATCGACGACGATCAGTATATTGTGGAGTATTCATACACTGCTGCACATTTTGAGTTGCGAGTTTGGAACACAGTACATAGGTATATCCCTCCCTCAATTTTTTCATCTCCCACTTCTTTGATCGCATTTGTTAGTGCAGTTCATCGGCATGGGCTGCGCTCTGCGCTGGGCACAGGCTGGCTAGTGGCTAGGCAAGGCAAGGCTAGGCTAGGCTACTCCGCTCGCTACTCCGCGCGATCACCGATTTCGTAAGCGTGCGGTGTCGTCAGTCGTGGTAAGTGCCGGGAATATCGCCGGGCCTGAGCCTCGCGCTATCGGCAGTTTGTTGCAATCAGCAACTGTCGGCAACGATTCGCTCGCGAGTAACACGCGGCAGGCGTGACACGATTGATCGCGGATGACCTGGCATTGCGTTCGCGAAAAAGAAAAACTTGCGAGCTTATCCGAGGACGAGGAACATGTATACCGTGTCAAAAGGGCCTAGCAAGATCGTAGCGAAAACACGACGAGGTACTAAATTTGGATTTCTCTCAATGTGCAATGCCGCCTAGACGACAGTATAAGGTAGATAGGTTGGAGAGCTTGAAAATTGAATTCTAGCTTTTCGCAGGGATCAGTCAGAATCTCGAGAGATTGGAAACTCTGCGCGATCTGACAAGGAAGGCCGACATTGAGGATGACGACGAGATCACTTGGTAAGAGAGGTAGAGAGAGGAAAGAGGATCGTGCTCTAACCCCTTTCTCGATGCCACTTTTTCACACGTTACTCCCTCTCCTCTGCGCCGCTACAGTGCTTTCGACATTACGCAATTCATCATAATTTGTCCCGTAAAATCGCCCCAAAGCTATTGAGACATAATATTCGCTGATGTAATATTGCGATGCGTGTCGGTGAAATTTCTAATGGAGCAGATTTAATGAAACGCGATGCAAATATATCTATTGAAACTAATTTTACATTATGTTTCCTACGACAAATAATATTGTTTCTTAACGTTTTCCACTGCGTATTGCGTAAGATGGCATTTGTGTGTAATAACGCGTGACGAAAAAGAACTATTTGCTTCATTACTATGTTCGCAATAAGGCTTCTATATATATATATATATATATATATATATATATATATATGCTTCTATGTATATATATATATATATATATATATATATGTATGTATACATACTTTTTTGCTTGCAGTCATGTACCAAAACCAGTCTTCCATGTGAATGGGAAATCCAAGTTTATCTCGCAGCGACATCAGATGCAACAAGTTATCATCACGCCACAGCACGAGGAACTTGTCAAATTTATCTATGAATGTAGGTAGAAGAATGTTCTACAGTTCTACACATACGTGTGAAATAAAGTGTAGGATTAGTCTCTCTTATCGAGTACGTATGAAAGATGCTGAATGCAAAACCGTTAAATCATAATACTTTGCAAAGTATGAAAGAGGCTAAGACGTGAAACTTTAATCGGAAAAAGAGACAAGGTCTTATATACGTACATTTTGTGTGCTTAAGTATTTTTGTCAATGTTGAGCCAAATATATATTATTTTTATTTGTTTATTATTTTTAACAGCATGGAATCAAATTAATACACGGGAAAGAAACGAATGTTGCGATGGTACAGAATGTGCAGAACTTTGCAGTAAGTAACATCAAAATTAGTCAATTTGTGATCGCAGTATTATTCTTTTTCATACATCTATATTAAAAAATATATATTTCTCGGGCAATTATAAAAGAAAGTTATTTAATATATCCTTTGTTATCTTGTAAAGATAAGCCTCTATTGTTTGTGTATAATTTGTGTGTTGGCCAGGACAACATACAGATATATGTATGCATATGCAGTATTCATATTCATTATGGCTGCATTCGCTTACAACGCTCACAACATCATTTCATCCTTGTTGTTTATCAAATGTTAAACAAGGACAAATGATGCTTATAAGCGCTGTAAGCGCCAAACCGAATGCAGCCTATATGTATTTAAAAAAGGACATTCTGGATCTCTCTATAATTTAATATTTTCTTCACTAGGTCCTAACGATTCGATAGTATATTACGATGATGGTGAAAAAAACGATAGTCTTCAGGGTAAGTGCAATTTTATTCTTATATTCGCAACTATATATTAAATTATTATTAAGTCACATTGATATTTCAAGAGTAATTAATTATATATTACCTACTGTAATTGACTATATTGACTGTACAAAGTAAATGACAAAATTCAAATAAACTGTTTCAGGCTTTAAACCGTTCGATTTGGAATCTTGGTGGGGCTCACGATTGTATCATAATCTCTTAAAGTCACTCTGAGATATTCAAAGAGCTAAGATTATTTTTCCGAGGACTTGTACTACTTTGGAAGTAGTAGTATGGCAGCCCGTGCTACGCAAATTAATCAGTATCGCGTTTTAAACATGTGATCTAAGCCTGATCGAGTGTTTGAAAATTGGTAAGATAGCGTTAAATGTGGACCTCGGATGTGATTTCATACATGAATAATAATGTATTCAAATTACCGGTTAAAATATCACTCGAATTGTACATATATATATACGATCACATCACATGTTACAAAGCGATAAGTCAGTACATCTGTGAGCTTACACACGCGTATGCAATACACAATAATAGCAAACACCGTTAATAATTCAAATGGTCTAATAACGATTGTTTTTATATGCATTTTGTTATAATGAAAGTTTATGCAAAATATTGATACTTGTTTATTGCTCTTTATTGTTAGAACTGCTCAATTTTAATAAGATGCAGAATATCGTTTTTGTACAGAGCTTTGAAACGATGCAACAAAGTTTCACAAAACTTTTGTAGAAGACAATTTGTAGAATAATGCGAAATACGCAAATGTAAACCCAATTGTTAAAAAATTCCGATTCTCGTTACATTTTCAACATAATCGAGGACGCGATCCAGTATGTACCAATGCGTATACCAAAATAAGGCTAACATAAGTAATTGTGAGCAAAAGACCTATAGCTGTATACGGTATGAATCCTGCGTGAGGTTGATGAATTTTTAATCTTAGAATGTTGTATATATTTTGCATGCAGTGATCGCGTGAATGCATGACATAATGGTGCGGATATTTGTTACGACAATTTGCGTTTGATTTTTATGTAAGGAGAAATTTAGTATAAATTCGTAGACTGATAATATGTAAGAGAATAATCTATATATATAGTTATTCGTCGAGTTGTAGCTCGCAGCCGATGATGCAATCTGTTGTTGAGCTCGCTCATCAAATTGTTATATTATGGTGGCAAGTTAAATTGTTTCTATCCTCGTATTGTTACGTATCTGCAGTATCGGACTATTGCAATGAGCCTCCGATTAGCGACAATTTAAATGCCACAATATTACGCGTCTGATAAAGCGCAGTTCGCGAAAGTAGTCGTCATGTAGTGCGATAAAATTCAGCCATGTGCAGTTGAATTTTACACGATCATGAATAAATACCTCTTTATACATACAGAAATATTTCTTCTCAAGTTGTATTTTATTTCAATTTTAATTCTCATATAACGTAAATACTAATTGGTGCAAATACTAAATTAACTGTTATAAAAAAAAAATAACGCTATAATCCTAATTTATCGTCAATAATGTATCATAATTTGATTTGTTGATATAAATTATATGCGTGCACACTTTCAGATATTTAGGTATTAACATATCATTTTATGAAATTTAATAGTTATATTACATCAAGAAATCATATCAAAATAAATATTTTTATGTAGTGTTATTGCAGATTCATTATTTCATTATTCTTTACTGTATTTATACTTTCTATAAACTTGATGCGCACAAGCATTTGAGCTAATGAAAATCTTGTCGTAAGTCGTCATATTGTTTCGCAGAGCTTTGCTCAGCATTACTCAGCATTTCAATCAATAAAAAAATCATTCTATGGCAGCTTATGTTATGCGCTGATGCGTTTGTCTCATTGCCTTCTCTTTCCCTAAGAAAAGAAACGTGTTGAAGTAGCCATCTGTCAGCGAAAGAGTCAGCCTTGCGGCGATTTGAGAACGTCTGCCTCACTTTAATGATATTATTAAAGTGAAACAGACGTCCCCCCCCCAAGCCAAGCCGTATAGCTGTCACTCTCGCACAATTCGACCATCCCCACCATATATATATATATATACACACACCTTAAGGCTCCCTGCCTCACTCCAGTCTCCAGTATGTAAACATCTCACTGGTTTGTTGTGTACATACGTGTGTATCTAGGACATATATATAGGTCAAAATTTTCGTTAGTTTTCTTTCAGTATAATTTAAAAATATATAAAAATAAAAAAAATTACGTCCATTATACATCTCGAGCCCATAATGAAGAATGATGAAATGCCACATAATATGGAAGAACAAAATTCCCAGGTAAACAGTTCAAATTTATATTAATTACCAATAATAGTCATATTTTACAATTATAAGTGCAATTGTAAATAATTGTCATTCTTTTTTACTTATGATATAAGTTCTTAATTGCAGACGACATGCGAGAATAGTACATCCAATATAGGACCAATAATGCAACCTCAGAATGGTTCCTCATTTCTCATAGTTTTAACATTTGCATGTGAAGCCCTCATAGCATGTGCAAAACAACTTGATATAATGGATGAAGAATATGGTGATAGAAATTATGGTACTATACTTGCACATAGTGCCAATGCCATAAAATTAGCGATTAAGGTTGTGGATGAAGTATAAATATACTTTTTCACATTTACAATCGTAAATATCATAGGTATATATACATATATGTTATAGGAAGGGAGGATTTTAGCAACAAGACCTTTTCAAACATTTACACAAATAAGCCATATTATTGAAAAAGAAACGAATAGCTCAGAAGGTGGAATATACTCGTTATTTTTTGATACTGCTGCTAAAGTAAGATTATCAATAATACAATCTTTTTTTCATCGTTAAACTTGAGGGAAGAAATTTTGAGAAATATTTTAGAGCTTTCTTAAGTTTCAAAATAATGAGCAAATGACTGCCAATATGTGGTTAACTGCTCTAACATCTGCAAACAAAATGCTATCTGAGGTTAGTGGAACATCAATTGGTGATCGAACCATGTTGGATGCTTTGATATCTGTGGAAAATAAATTAAGAGATGCATTAAATTCTGGTTCAAATGCTGTCAATGCATTTGGGGAAGCTGTCAAAGCTGCCGAAAGTTTTGCTATGCAAACTGTGCATACGTCAGGATCTGATCGCACTGTTGATTCTATA